ATGTACACTGTAGTTGGCACACTGTATGTTAAGCCTTCCGGAATTGTTGTCTATAGAAGGTTACATTATCAGGTCAAATTCTGTGTAGTTTAGCCAAATTATCAGGAAGAACATTCGCGGCGTCATCATTTCATATCACCAAATTCTATTTGGGAATCAAGTTTTAAATGGTTGCCTTTAGCGCTGGCTCACCATCAATGATCATTGCGTGGATGTACACACGACGGTTGTTCCTCTCTTCGGAGTGATTTACATACGAAAGTGTCGAGGTCCCGTTCTTTCTATCCCTCGCTCATTCTTATTCTATTTGTGTTTTTTCATTACGTTTTTCTTCAGTTGCCCTACTTGCCTTTTTAAAGTTGTAATACGACTATGCCAGTATTCTACCTTCAGCTAGCCCTGTTAGAAGCTGAGTGTCCCTTGGATAAGAGGATTCGCGTGGATTAGTTTTCGTCATTCGAGATCTTCGCAGGGAAAAAAAAGAAAGAAAGAGAGAAAGAAGAAAAGGCACCACACCATTAAATGTCAAGAAAGAGAAAAGTTAGCTCTCTAAGAGGTCGGCAGTTTTTTCCCTTTTGAACACGATAACATTTATAGTCAATTGAAAACTTCGTTGAAGGGAAAAATCAGTGAACAAAGAGGAAAAGGGAGAGAGAAGAGAAGGGAGAAAGGCGGGAGAAAGAGGAGAGAGAAAGGAAAAGAAACAGATGAAGTGAGACATACATAGAAGAAAAAGGGAACAAGGTATATACAAAAAGTCAGGATTGAAGTAGGTTAATTTTTCAGTATCAGTGCTTTTTAAGCTTCTTTTCTTTCTGTAAGGTTGTGCAATTATATATTATATATTTATTTGAACTTTTTGTCAACTTTATGGCAAAATTGATTGAATAATCTATCAAACTTCCATCCCATAATAGTAATCATGGTACTGTTTCAAGGTGTATAATAATAATAAAAATAATAATGTGCTATATTTAAATTTTTTTCTATTTTTTTTTCTAGTATAATTTTGTTTTTTGCTCACCCCAGGGACTTATCCCAAGTCCCTGCTCACCCGATTCGTTCGCTCTCAAATTGTAGCGACTCAAAGTTGGTATTTCGGCATGCGACACCCCAGGCGCAATTCCAACTGTAGGTATACGTCTATAATAATCCAATTAAGATTTTAAGACATGAAACAACTACAATTGACTAGATTTGTCATGAACGGTTAGGACTCTGTAGGTAATACTCATTTGAATTGTCCTGTTAATATGCGAATGCGAAGGAGGGTGTGATTAAGACTACTACAGAAGTGTTAAAGTTGTGTTAAGGTTGTATGTCTTTGATACCTAACAGATACAAAAAAGTTCACTATCGGAATGGACTATGGAAGATTCCGGAAGCTACGGAGTTGAGTGGGCGGAGAACGTGTTTGAGAAGTAAAAGGGTTGCAAAGGAGGACGCTCATGACGTCGACGCGGGGTAAGGAGAGGGTCAGATTTGGGATACGAATAGAGTTTGATAAGAAGAAAAAAATTGTGTGGATGGTTAACAGACTTCTACTGTATCCTACTCTACTACTACTTCTGCTACTTATACTTCTACTACTACTGCTACTGTTACTACTATTATTACTACTACTACTACTACTACTACTACTACTACTACTACTACTACTATTATTACTACTACTACTACTACTACTACTACTACTACTACTACTTTTACTACTACTACTACTACTACTACAAATACTACTACTACTACTACTACTACTACTACTACTACTACTATTACTACTACTACTACTACAACTACTATACTACTACTACCACTACTACCATGACCACTACCACTACCACTTCTACTATTACTACTACGTACTACGTACTACTACTACTACTACTACTACTACTTCTACTCCTACTATTACTACTTATGCTATATATAAAAATAATACTAATACTAATGATGGTGATGATAATGATAATTGCAACACACTCTGCCTGTCAATGCTATCCAGATACATGTATTACCCGGTCATCGGAGTCTGGCTTTCACGCACACAATGTGTTCACATTCTCCACTCCCTAGGGAGCTTTTTAATCAGTCGCTATTTTACAGGCACGCACGATGCTTAAGCATTATGTGTCGTACCGAGGATTGAACCCAAGACTTTCACTTTTGTTTTACATCCGGAACGGTGTATTGAAAATAAACACCATACATGATAATCGTTAAATTGGTTTAAATTGTCCAATACGCCTTTCAAACTTCATTTCAAAAATGGATTCATGCAGAACATGAGAAAACTTTTCAACTTTAGAAGACAAGTTATATCATAATTATGCAAGACTTAATCATGCCTTCTACAGAAGAAGGCATGATTAAGTCTTGGATAATACACTACAGAAGTGTATACAAGTCATGTCCAAGACATTTTAATTTGCATAATATCATACAAATCATTCAGCGATATGTTATTAATTATAAGTATAAAGACCACTGTAGAATATCATTAGAACATTTGCAAGAATCGTTTTACACAAAGAAGCTGACGATAATCAAGTCGGGGTAATAATTAGTGCACCCCGGAATAGAATTTCTAAATAAATATTATTATTATACATTTTAGGGCAAAGTGATGCTTAATAATCTTTATGATTATTCATTTTGGGTTATTTTGATTGATTTATCTAAGGACGATTTTATTAGAGCATAAGAAGTGCGCTTGCTGGCTTGCAGATGAGATTACAATGATCTAACGTTTGGAAGGTGTTCTCAATAAGTGGAAATTTTCCCACTATTTTGGGGGCTAGATTTCTTTAAATTCTGGCTAAAATTCAGTACATCTCCAACACTTCGTTTTTCCAACACGTCGTTCTTTCTTATAGTTGACTCATTTTACCATTTCCAGTTCCATTTTCACGATATCGTCTAGAAATGCGAACAATCCCACACATTATACTCCAGACGGAAAACCCGAAATGATCGGGTATCTATTTTTAATTCTTCGGTAATGAAATGCGAATCCTCATGTGAAACCATCAGCTCGCAAAAATGGATATTCTCTTTCCTTTTCACGGACACCATATCAAGCCAAGGGCGATATTGTCTTACAGTTACGGCGTCGCGCTAAAAACACAATCCGACGTCGTACTTGGCAATCATGATGATAACACTAACAGTACACATGACACCATCCACTTATTAATATCTTCGAATACTCAAGTCGAGGAAGAAAAAACTTTTAAACAAAAAACACACTGAAAAAGAGGTTAATTTGAAGTGTAAGATGCATAAGTATTTCACAGAAGACACAACTTTGTGAGTTGTCCATGGTAATGGGATTATTGCAGCATCTGACTTGTAATGTTTGACATCGTGATCAAGCTTGTATCTACATCAAATAGCGACAATTTATTTTTGATATCAAATCGAACGTACACATACTCGGCATAAGAATAAAATATTAACAATTAAAGTGATTTTCTCCCTTATCGTCGAATTTCTTATAGATGTATCTTTTTTTCTAAATTTTAGTTGTAACAGGTTTTTTTAATATGTATTGATACTAATGGTAAATATTTACTTTTCGTTTTAAAGAGTATACTATTCTCAATACAGAAAATGACATGACACTTGAAAATATATTCACATTTTGACGACAAATAACAAGATAAAAATCTTTCTTTCTCAGAAAATTGACCACGTTGATATGTTGTTCAATTTATTATCTAAAGCGAAAAGAATGCCTGCTTAGGACCTTACAGTATGAGATCCCAGAAGAAAAAAAAAATCAATTCAAATTGCGAAGTGTCTAGAAAACTACAATGCTGATCAGGATGATAACACCCCCATCGTCCTGGAATGACTCCGCCCCTTTTTTGTGTGTAAATGCTGGATACGCTGCTTGTTGTCTTTTTTTCCAGCTAAACAATCTGAGTTGGAAGAGATAATAGAGTACCATAATCGAGACAGCTTCATGCAAACGTGTATCTTAATTGATCTCCAATGTAAAATACTTATGAATTATGCAAAACACATTAGGCTTTCAAATGTCAGAAATCCAGTTCAGGTTACATTTTCTTCGTAACCAAGCAACACATTAATAACATTATGAAGTTGAGCACAATATAACAAATCTACACTACTTGTTTGCCAGTTAGGTAACTAATCTATGATTGTGAAAATATTTCTTAGCATGGCTTGATCAAGGCAGGACTTTGATATAAGAATATTATTGATTGAAGAAGGGCATTGTAAACATAACCAAATCTTCATTCAGTTTAACCTCCACTCTATGAGGATAGCCATAATGTTAAATGAGCTCTATATTCTCTTCTTTTTATATATGAAATATGAGAAGCATATTATGTGTTTATACAAAACGGAAGAAATTAATTGTGTTATTTTGCACCAATGCAAAAATTATTAGGTACATGTACGGTCATGAAATATAGATATTTGCTCGCTTCATTTGTGTGAAAGTGTAAAAGAATAAAGGAATGATCTCAAGCAATGATCAAGCAAAGATCAAGTCAAACTGCAATGAACAAATGCTATGTATGTTTATACAGGAACCGTATATTCCTAACGATCATTTGAGGGGTCCACAATTGTACAAGCATTGCTTTTTAGTGGACCCCTCTGTTTCCAATATGTTTTCCTTACTAATTGTTGTAAATGATTATAATTGATTTGTTATGTTTTGTTGGAAACAAAAATAAAAATGACTTGAATTGAATTGAATTGAATATCTGACTAATGAAATTCAATTACTAATTGTTGTAAATGATTATAATTGATTTGTTATGTTTTGTTGGAAACAAAAATAAAAATGACTTGAATTGAATTGAATTGAATATCTGACTAATGAAATTCAATTTCTTTGTTTCCCTTTCTCCCTCTCTTTCTCACTTTACACACACACATCGTTGCCATGACGCCTTAATACGACATCCACAACATTCTAATTGGTGCCTTCTCTCGCTGATTCCGTGATGTCATCGGCGCAGACGTGTGAAACAGACGACGACTGCGCAAGGTTAGATCGGCCGGCTTGCTGCGCAAAATCAGTCATGGGTCCATTCTGGGTGTGTAAAGCTTTGGGAGAACTCAACGCTGCTTGTAATTCCTATAGTATGCCCCATATGTGGGGCGGACAGAGGAATGGGCACTTCTGTCCTTGTAAGCAGCATCTAGCATGTGTAGGACATAGACGAGGAGGGTGCGATCTAATAAGTGATAAGTAGCTTGGTGTGTGTCCATGGAGATGGTGCACATGAAAAGAGTCCTTTGTGACACAGAACCTTTGAAAAAATAAAAATGTGAAATAAAAAAAAACAATTCAGTGTGAAATCGATTTGATATATTGGTTAGTTTATCAACTTTATGTTGATAAGAAACGAAAAATTAGGCTTCCTTTTAAGATTTAAAATAGAATGAACGGCCCAGCAATATATTTAATAAGGTGATAACACATTGATTAGGGTATCAGGAGTTATTTTTGGTCTCAGTTATAGAAATTCAAATTATTGATAATGAATTTCATAAATGTTTAGCTCATGAAAATATACGAAATGTATTCATTTAGTCAATGAATAAAATCTTCAATATAATAAAGTATCAATCAATAATAGTGACCTTCGTAAATATTGGCATTTAAAAAGTCTAAAATATTATGTACATTGGTGTTATTATTTTCTTAAATATTGTTTGATTCCCACCATGCGATCATACTCAAAATGGAATATAGTCTAAATCATAGAAGATGCATTCATAGCAATCCGTTTATAGCACTCTAATTACTGATCATCTTGAATTTTTATGTCTATTTCGTTGTTGTTGTTGTCATTGATTTTAATTCATTAAATTGAATGTAAAGTGAGCTCCAATAGATATATCGCGAGAACATTCCATTTAATTTCAAGCATTTTGAATTGGTATTAGGGTAATGTCATGGCATAACATTAAGCAATGTAAATAATGAAATACACACACTGTACCTAGGAGAGAGTGGCATGCATATGAATCATTTTATGAAATAAGAAGTTCAATACAAACTGTTATTACTTCTGTTATATTAGCACTTGAATATTTATCATTTTTTATATTCAGCTCTAGTAATTATTTCCAGAGGAAATAAGCAAGTCCTACCATGCTCAAACATTACTTACGTCATGGTTGTTGTTCTACCACTCATTGAAAAATAAAAGTAATTATAAAGATGTGTACTATAGTTATTTTAATTAACGCCACCATCGCCCAAATATAGGCTTTTGAAACTGTGTAAATCCGACTGTGTCGTTCATCTATGCTATCAAAAGATATTTAACTATATCCCCGTTTCATATATTCATATCCATCACCGAGACGTTGGATTCTAAAAAAAAGAACATAATTCTCCTGACTCGGGTATGAGAACGTTTATTGTCCACGTTCTTGATGAGTTTTCATGTAATTACTAGCTGTAAGGATTTAAACAAATCCGCCTTTATCCTGTCTTTATGATTCAAATAAAGGTATAGAAGCAGAATAAGGAGGGGCAGTCTGAGAAAACTCTTTTCTTTGTAGTCCACCTCAATAGCAATTATATCCCAAAATTATTTCAACAAAAGTAACCCCGTTTTATCTATAATTTCACCAACACTGTTCATAACATGTAGTACAATACCAAGCCAGAATTGTTGCCATCTTCAAAAGTCTTTACTACGACTACAACAATAATTGCCTGTCTATTCATGAAATCTACAATTAGGCCTTATATTAACCAATATTTTGTTAGTACATGTTAGTACAGAAGGAAAAATAATTGACATAAATTATAGCATCTGTATCTTTTTCTGAATATATGCACTTTTTTTTCAATTAAATTATTTTGATACGCTTGAATATCAATCATGGTAAAACAAAGTTCGCATCATGATGATAACAAACGTATTTTCTTTATGTTGCGTGTTCTGTATTATATTGCTTTAAAAAAATATTTATTTCTAGTCGATTGAAATTAAAGTTTAGATGTATATTTATGCACCCGGGCGACTTCTGTCTATATTCTGTTCCTATTCAGCGTTCGGTGAATGCCGTTGTATTAAAAAATAGAATCTACTGCATTATGGAGTGAAGTATATTCGATTATTTTTCTAAACTGTTGTATACATTTGGAAAGATATTGGATATTGAGCAATGTTTTGACAGCTTTATGTAAATTATGTTGGATACAGACTACCGGGAAGAGGAATCGAAATCGAGCGAGAGAACGAGAAAGATAGAAGCAGAAAGAAAGAGAGAGAGAGAGAGAGAGAGAGAGTGGAGGGAGGGAGAGAGAAAGAAAGGTGAAGCATGGATACATTATAATAACATTACATAAAGTTAAGTTATAGAAATGACTCGTAACTACACTGTCGCTCATAAAGGTGGAATATTTTAGTTTTACCCCAATTTATGGAATTATTTTAAAAATCATTAAAAAATAATAGATATAAATAATAGTATACATTCTCAGATTTTATTGAATAATAATTTGCCAATGTGTGTTTTGCGTGACTGCTAAAGCATGTGTATGCTACAATGCTTATTAATTAGGGGACCTACGCTCTCAAGTCATAAATGACAGTAATGAGGATTAATGCCCCACAAAAGGGCATTAATATAGCACATCGACACGGTTTTGATCCTGGGGCCTCACATTACGAGGCCATTGTTTGTCACTGGACCATGACTGTACGCAGCGGGGGCTAGGGTAGGGGGCAGTTTCCATAAATAAAAAAACCCACAGAAAATGCAATAAATTTTCAATAATTTATTGCATTTTACCCCGGTCCCCCAACATAAAAAATCCTCTGGACGGCCATGCATTATGGCTCAAGGCATGGGCACACAGAATTTTTTGTTATGTTAGGCACCGGGGTTAAATGCAATAAATTATTGAAAATTTATTGCATTTTCTGTGTTTTTTTTAATTTATGGAAACTGCCCCCTACCCTAGCCCCCGCTGCGTACAGTCATGGTTCAGTGACAAAACAATGGCCTCGTAATAGTGAGGCCCCAGGATCAAAACCGTATCGATGTGCTATATTAGTGCCCTTTTGTGGGGCATTAATCCTGATTACTGTCATTTATGACTTAAGGGCATAGGTCCCCTAGTTAATAAGCATAGTAGCATACACATGCTTTAGCAGTCACGCAAAACACACATTGGCAAATTATTATTCAATAAAATCTGAGAATGTATACTATTATCTAGATCTATTATTTTTAAATTATTTTTTAAATAATTCCATAAATTGGAATTAAAAAAAAATATTCCACCTTTATGAGCGACAGTGTAGTAAGGTACTTGTCCGTGGGTGTTTTGCATCAAATGAAGGATAATATTGAGGCACTATATGACACATTATCAAGAAGGAATGAAAGTATATGACAATTATTTTTCCAAAATTATCTCAACTACCTTAGAGATCTAGAAGAGCTCCGATCAATACAGATATCTGCACGTGTTTTAAAACCCCTGTTCACCCTTTGTTTTCTATAACCCATGACAACAAACTCGTTTTTAAAAGTTTGAAAATTTCATTTTGGGATACACTGTACATCGGATGTTTTTTTTCTTTGTTACTGCCATGTATTACACCTTGGATGGATGATGTGTCGTAGTCGCATGTTTAAGATTCCATGGAAGAACAGAGCAATTATCATTCTATTATTGTTATCTAAGTCTTTGATGCTGATATACTGTATTATTGTTTTTTAAGATTTTTCGGAAAAAAACAAAAAACAACAACACACAAACAAACAAACAAGAGGAGCCAAACGGCCAAGACATTTCTAAATTAGGAAAGGGGATTGGGACGTGGAAATAAAATAAAAAGAAGGAAGTTAAACATTGGAAAATCATATCGATAATTTTTTCTATGAGAGGGCATGTATCACGAAAGGGGGGGGGGGGCTGCTCTTACCCAGGCGCGTACGCAGGATTTTTTTCAAGGGGGGGGGGGTTTAACATTTATAAAACGGGTCGAAAATTTCGCAACGACTCAGCCAGCCGCTGAATAAGCGGGGGGGGGGGGGGGGGGGGGGGGGGGGTAAGAGAACACTTTTTTTTTTTTGGTCTCGAAATTTGAAAATTCGGCATTTTGCTCCGTTGGGGGGGGGGGGGGTAAGGTCAGCTTTTTTAGGTCAGCCATGGGAATATTTTTTTGTTTTGTTTGTTTTTTGTTTAATAAAAAAATTTTAAAAAATGCAAAGGGGGAGGGGGAGGGTTTTAGGGGGGTTGAGGGGGGGTTTAACCCCCCCCCCCTGTGTACGCGCCTGCTCTTACCAACCATACATCATGAGCCCAACACATTTAGATACAGGTGTAAGTTTTACACTTTATACGTTCTTTATGATAAGAATTAAAGTTAAAAACCACAGCAAGACAGTTTCAGAACCTGGATTTAAACAAGTGTAAAGTAGTGCTGAGGGCAGGGCAAATGTTCGGTGCGACAAAATACAAATAAAGTCTCTAAAAACTTCTATATAGGAAATACGGGAGCTGGCAACTCGGGGGCAAACTTACGGGAGTGGCCCCTCCCTCACCAGAATTAAGACAAACAAATAAGGTCTATTTAAACATAAAGACACAATATGAACACCAGGAAACAAAAGAATATAACAAGAAGAGAAATATATATTGTTAAAGGGACTTGGTAAACATTTAAGTGTTGAAAGATTTTGAAAAGCCTGTTTTATATCTTATTTCTATGGAAAAATGGTTGGGAGAATTTACTGTTAGAGGGTGTTGCCCAGTGACGTCTGCGAAGAAAACCATAAATATCTTTGTGGCTTGATTTTTTCAGGATTGTTTTAATGTTAGAGGGTTAGTACAGTAGAAGGAATATAATAAGTAACATTTCATATAAAAATTACGCAGTATTTTCATCAACTTTCAACAATGTTACCGGTTCACTTTAAGAGCCATAGGAAACCTTGGTTGCTATAGGAAACAAAAAATAACCTGAGTTCAACCGAGTTTATTGGACTTTATTTGATTGATTGGTTGCTTTTTATCATATCCCACGCAAACATTAACAAAACATAATACATTTGACAAAACAAAGATATTCCTTTAGGTAATATGGAAATTGAAAAGATTTGACAATCATTTTGAGATCTTCTTAAAGTAGATGCTAATCTGAATGATGATTGCATGCTACAAACAGGTAATAGCTCTATCCACTCTGCAGATTAAAAACACTCGTTAAAGAAATACATAATTTATTGATTTATGGAAAGCCTATAATACACGCCTACTCATCTGCGCTTTAAAAAAAGACCTCATTGTATTTGAGTTTCATTGTTTTTTA